CTGCCACTGCCATGGGTGTCCCCCCGCTGCCTCCCGCCCTGTCTTCATCCCATGGGACCAGCCTGCCCCTCTGGGAGCGGGGATGCGGGGCCCTGCTGCCACCGCAGGGAAACTCCAAACCGTGGGCCCCGCACGGCCTGAATGGCGCGATTGTGCACCGGGAACAGCCGTGCCCTTGCCAGGCGCCGCACAGAGAAGCCTTCTGCCGGGATTCAATGGGAGAGCTGTTCCCGCCGGGAAGCTCCCGCTGCCGCTCCCTGACCCAGGTCCCCAGCGGCCGGGGCGCTGCCCGCTCCGGGGCGCCGCGTGGAGAAGGGGCCTCTGTGTGCCGGGACACGCACGGCCTTTCCCGTCTTTGTCCGAAATGTCAACGCGAATCGGACGCCGCAGGCTCCGAACCTCGGCTCGGCTCCGGAGGGGAGGCGGAACCGGGATGAGAGGGCGACGGAGCGAGCGGAGGGGCGGTGACGCCCCGCTGTCAATGGGCACATTGAGATGGTGGCAGTGGCCAAGAATCACCAGGAAGGGACATCCTGTGTCTTATGGCTCTTGTTCCCTTTTCCTTAAGGACTTGGCTGGGCGCTGAAGGCTGCGGAGCTCCAGCAAAGTTCTGGAGCCGGCGCATTCCGCAGTCATCCTTGCTCTGGCTACGGCTCCCTCACAAGCAGCCTGAACTGGGTGAACCCAACGGCTGCACCGAGCACCCAGACGGGGAATTCCCAGGTCTGGGAAGATCCTGAGGACCGTTGGGGAGCGTTTAGGGCCGCGGAAGCTGCCGGCAGACGGAGCGGGTCCATCGGCGCGGGAATCCAGCCAATGTAAATCCTGGGCCCTGCAAATCCCGCAGCCGCCCTGATAAGGCCGGGCTGGAAGTGCAGCCACAGAAAGAGCCGCCCGGCCCCCCTGGTCCCACGGCCCCCAGGTGCCGAGCCCAGTGCATGGAACGAGATAAAAGCTCCTTCCCAACGTGCCGCCTGCCCGGGAAGTGCCACCTGCAGCAGCTACATCAGAGGGGACCCGCGGGAGGGGACAGAGGGACAAGGACACCCTGCAGCTGGGCCCAGCTGCATCCCCAGGAGCAGAGACACTCGCTGTAGGCCTGGGGATGGGGACTGATGGGGTGGAGACCTGCGCACAGCGGTGCCAAGGCTGCGAATGTCACCAAAGTGACAGGGATTTGGGCCAAACTGCAGCCATGACCCACCTGATATCACAAAGGGGCGGTGGGTGATATAGGGGGGTGACCCTGGCACGGGTGCAGGTGGCAGGGGACATGGGGTGATCAAGGGAGGCTCCTGCCGTGCTATTCTGGGGCTCTCCGCTCTGTCCTGCTGCAACGTGCTGGGGAAGAAGGATCTAAACAGTGAGATCAAGAGAGGAAAGTGGCTTCCTGCCACCTCCTGAACTTGCCAGCAGGAAACAAGGACATCCTGGTGTGGGATGGTCCTCGCCCGGCGCAGCGGGGGCCCCGGGCAGAGGACGTCTGGTATTTCCCCACCGCACTGCAGAGCCACCTGAACCAGGCAGGCTTAGAGTAAAAGTGCCATGAAAATGCGACATTCAGCCCCAAAAAGAAAAAATACAATAAAACAAATCAGCAATAGCTTTCTCTGCCAAGCAGTCACTGAATCAACAAGAGCTGAGCTCTTCTAGACTTGCTTTGGATAAAGAATGAGGGATGAAATCATGCAGTTCATTAGCACAGGATGTCTCAGAGGCCGAACGTGTAAATGGCTCACGGGGCTTTACGTGAAGGTCAATCCGTCAGGGCTATGGAGGTGCGAGTGTCCGGATGCCAATCCTATGGATGGAGCTGCCGGGAAGCCCGTTGTGTTGCTTGTGCTCCCACCATGAGCAGGGGCTGTAGAGCAGGGCCCGGCGGAGGGACCCGCTGCCCCGTAGGGAACATGGGGATTGATCCCTCTGAAGCTAAAAGGAAAAGAAACAAAATCGTTACTGAGAGATTCAGTGCTGAAGGAGCCACCTCTGCTTGCACCTGGGGACAGTGGCACCTGGAGGGTGGCACCCCAAGGGACAGCAGGCCAAGGGACACGTCACACCTGGTGTGACTGGGGTAGGGGGCTGCCCCTCCTGGGGATGCTGGGACAAAGGACACTCCCGTCCCCAAGATGAGCAGGGCAGAGGAGCCCCCTGACCCCAGGTGGTCATGGCAGGGAACACCCCCCATTCGGGGGTCCCCTTTCCAAGGGACATTCCCTCCCTGCAGCTGGGGGTGCCGGGGGACACCTCATGCCCAGGGTGACCGTAGCAGGGGGGGGACCAGAGGGGACATCCCCCTTCTTTGCGGCACCGGCACAAGGGTGCGAGGGGCCCCCCCGAAGCCGGAGCGAGCGGCCGGGGGCGGTGCCGGCCGGGGGCGG